CTCGTCCTCCTCGTCCTCCTCCTCCAGCGTCCCCCCGGAGCCGCCGCCGCCGCCGCCGCCGCTACTCCCCCTGCCCCGCCCCCCCCCGCCGCCCCCACGGCCACCACCCCCGCTCGTCCCCCTCGGTGGGTAGAGCAAGACGGGAGCGTTGCTGTCGTCCCCCATGCTCTCCGTGCTGTCAGCGGGGCTGCTGCCGACGGAAGCCTCGAGCGGCGAATCCTCCCCGGCGGTTCGGCGGCCTACCCCGGAAAAATCGACGCTGGTCTCCGTTACTACGGCCGGAGGCGATCCGCTCAATCCGTCGCCATCGGCGGCGTCAGCAGCCTGCTGCTGCTGAGAAGGGGGCGGGGGCGGCTGGGCAGGGCCGCCATCTTGTGACATGGGCGCGCAGGTCTTTGCCTTCTTATAAAGGTTGCGGCTCCTTTCCACCGCCTGGATCAACCAACATTAACACAACAACCAACCGGGGTGGTGGTGGTGGTGGCGGGGGAACCGCGCAGTTCCGAGCATGAGAGAGCCGCAAGAGGATACTTTGTGTGAGCGGCGACGTACAAACACGGCCGCATTGAGTTGCATTGCGTTCGGGACTTCCCCTTGCTCTCAACAACTCTTTGTTGCGAGGAAGAGAGCGGAGCGAGGTTCAAGGACCGAATCGTCCTGCAAAAAAACGACCCAAAAAAACAGCAGAGGGGTGGAGGCCCCGAACGAAAGATGCAACAAGGTGCGCAACGAGAATTCTACCTTTCGTATCGCTTTCGGCAAATGCATGAGCAACACGCCACATACACGCACACACACGACCGAAGCACGCGTGGGTCTTACCCTCTCTCATCGCTACACCCCAGAGCCCAATGCCACCCTAAAAAAATGGCAATCCCGCTCTCTTTGCTCACGATCCAAACTTCGCAGAGCAAAATAGCGGATATTTGTGCGGAATCATGCACAACACGTAAGACACCTATGTGCGGGAGTGCTGACCAAATCCGTGGATTCCGGGGAAGCTGCGGTTGCTCTCCAGCTCGTTTGAACAGCAGTTACTACACAATGCAAGGCACGTCCGCCCTGCCTGCTGTGTGTGCGCGCACCTCTCGAACACTCTTTGAATAGAGGGACTTTTTTGCACACCCAGCCAAGAGAGGGGCACCAAAAACAATCCTTCGGAGAACAAGATTTGCGCAGGTACCTGCTGTGGAGTAGCCAGAACAGGCGTGCAAAGATGCGGCCCGCGCACTCCCAAGAAACTCCGTCTCCTTAGCCGATCGCTCCCGCGCGGCGCTGCTTGTGTCGTTCCGTCCTTCTCTCTCTCTCTCTCTTCCCGCTGAAGAGTAGGTTTGCGCGCCGTGCACGGCAGTCGGTGGAACTCCCTCAGGGGCACCGTGGACGAAATTCCGGGGTATGCTCGGATGAGTTCGCGGGTTCGTTGTAACTGTGCTGTACATACCCACCCGCACCCTCCCCGGCCCCTGGTCTGTGTGTGTGACAACAAGAGGGGCTGCTGGCTGGCTGTAAAGCAGAGGTGTAGAAAGGAGCAGGGTTCCACTTGGCAAGGATGGCGATCGTGGCGTTTTGGTTGGCTCTGATATTCTTTGTGGGCTGCTTGGCCTCGGTGTGGTGGATTCTCTTGGTAGATCATGGTGACCTCAAGGAGGAAGAAGAACCGGGCGAAGATTTCGACAACCCTCTGGCCGGCGCGGATGGGGTGAGTGTTCACGGCAGCGCGCGTGTTTTTCTGTATTCTGTATGCGCTGCTACCGCTAGACGTGTGCGTCAGCTTGTGCCAGTTACTGCAGTAGAAGAAATTGCTAGTATCTGGTCTGTGCGTGCAACACTGATTGAAGCTTCCACAGGCCACATTTTTGTTCCTGTTTGCTGCAAATGTTCCCACGCAAAGTCGCCTCTCCTCCCCGCCTTGCATGCCACGGATACAGCGGTTGCACCCCCCATGATTCAGGAGCAACGAGCGCTGTTTTGGTATTGCTGTAAAAAATGGTGGCATTGTTTCTACGTACAGAGCACTGCTGTCGATGGTCCTCGTGCCGTTATGAAGAAGTGCATCCTTCTGTTACTGGCTGGCTCTCCCTCCCTCTACATCCAGAGAAGGCTCAAGTATAACCATCGAACATTTGGGGATGGTGACTCTGCACCCCTGCAAATTCAAACATTCAAAGACGACCTGTTGTTGCTTAGGTCGTTCACGAGCAAGCCTGCCGCAGCCTCGTCAAACCTATATCAACAAACTCATGTCGAGACCCCAGCGCGCGACGAACCTGACTCGAATGTTCCAGCTGTGATGGCGTGCACAACTGCTGGTCACTACTGTACAGGGTGTACACGTATCCTCGTGGTGAACGAAGCATGAGCAAAAGGGTAGGCTTTCTCAGACCGCAGGAGGGTGTTGATCCCTCACCCGTCTGGCGAACAGGCGGTCTCTCTGGAGCAGTGGTTGTGCCTCCACACGGGAGGAAGGTTAAGGTCAACCAGGCTCGGACTTGGTCAGGATCGACAAGAATACATCTCTCCCTCTCTCTCTCTCTCTCTCCCTCTCTCTCGCTCGTTCTCTCTCTCTGTCTCTCTCTGTCTCTCTCTGTCTCTCTGTCTCTCTGTCTCTGTATTTCTCTCTTTCGCGAGTCTGTGGATGGTGGTGCATTCTTAGTCGGTAAAAAGCGATTAGCGTGTCTGTTTAATTCAGCAACCGAACGAGATCCCCTGCTTCTTCTCCCCGGCTTGGATTTCGGCGCCCTCTCTCTCTGTGCGCGTGACGCGGCAGTGGTTGGTTCGCGAAACGAAGTCCCCAACTTGTTCGATAATATCTACGCCTACCACCAAACGCACGCTCCCTTTCCACGCGCGTTTCTTTTTCTCGAAACCTACTGTAGTTCACGAAGAAGAGGAAGAAGAAGCCCGCGGGCAAGCCGGTCGTCATCAGAAAGAGGGCTCCCGTGGAGACTCCCGATCCGGTGAGAGATGGAAGAGTTAGCTAGAGTGGCCTTTGTCACCTGCAGGGTGGTGGCGTGTGAAGAGAGAGAAACAGAGCAGACAACAGGTCAGGGTCGGAGAGACGAGAGGGAGAGATTGAGAATGAGAGTGAGGTGAACAGAGAAGATGGATCACTGTATAGAACCGCGATGGTGCCGAGGGAGAAAGGGAAGCAGAGAGAGAGAGAGCGGGGCAGTGGAGACAGACAGGGATATGGACACAGACGGAGGAAGACAGAAGAGCAAGGAGAGAACAGACAAGACGAACAGTCTCTTGCTCGTATCGTAGAGATTGAGCCCCCCCTCCCTGTGCGCCTTGTTGGAATTTCTGTCGGAATCGATATCGAACCGGACCTGCCGGGTACGTTTTACGTCCGTACCCTGGCGTGTACCTACTGGAGCACCACGGTATTGTTGTGCGGGGTGGAGAACCCTCACTCCGCGCAAGGGGGTTGACCGCACCACGTTGTGTAAAATTGGTCAAGCATCCTTGAGGCAGTTACACAGCAGTGCTTATAACTGTCTCTGGAAGCGAAAGCACCAGAAAGTAAATTAAGTCATACGCAACTGTCATCCGTACGCAAGGAAGTAAGCACAAGATGCCGAACACCCTTAGCAGGATGCAGCTCACCCTTCATGCGACTCGCCGAATACCTCACGGCGCTTCGCGCTTGGTGATGTGAGAGCCTGGACCGGTGAGAACCCGGCGTGCTCCGTCCCGACTTTGTAGGGATGCGAGGTCAATGGTCTAACGACTACGGCATGCACGACTATGAGTACCCCCCCCCCGCTCATGCCATTGTGCACGAGTATGAGTACACCCCCTCATGCCATTATCGCCCCCCCCTCCCTCCGATCCTCTGACCCCTCGTCTCTCTCGTCTCTGACGCTGAAACACGTTTTCTGTGGTTCTTGTTACCACAATCACGGCTACATGGACCATCGAACCAGACTTGGGATGGACAGCCGTCGAGCCTTCTTGTCAGGGAACTCAAGGGACACACTGCTCAGGTATTCGCCTCGCCTAGTAATTCCCTGTGTTTGATTGTGCGTTATCGGTGTTTTTTGGGAGGTGTTTTATGGCCTCCTTCAGGCTGTGCATGCAGGGTGGGTTTCGCACAGCCATCTCTGTAACCGATGGCTTCGACCACCCAAAAGTATTCGAGAATATTTTTACACCACGGGGGCGACTCGAGAACGAGACCCTGGCACCCTTTCTCGCTGTGCTGTGTTTTGTGGTGCCCGTGTGGATTTCGTTCCTATCCATTGACCGCACTAACCAGCCGAAGAAGTCAGTTGTATGTTTGTGTGTGTGTTCTTGTCTTGAAGTATTTATTTTTCATTTTTGCTTGCCAGGCAGACGACCCACGTGGCCTACACCAACAACAACCAATGCCCACATGTTTTTTGTGTGTTTTGGTGCCAACTCACAAAACCAAATGTGTCGACGTGTTTCTGTTTTTTGTCGTCTTTTCGATGTCTTTTTTGCGAACGAAATTGTTCTTCTTGCAGGTGACGGGTGTGGCCTTCAGCAACGACGGCCGCTTCGTGGCGACCGCTTCGGAAGACAGGACTGTCCGCATCACTTACCTGTGAGAAAAAATAGAGGGTGACACCACGGCTATTGTTAGAATCTCCTCCGTAGACGAGTCGGTTGATCGGGTTGACACGGGTTCGTTCCGCTTAGTATTGCGTTGTCGCTGGGGAGCATACCAGAATCCATACTATCTCCTCCCGCCACCGTTCATCCCTCTTGGTTGGATATTTAATTCCTCCCCCTCCATGGGCACGCCCCCTTGCGTACGGCCTCCATTTCTTCGCGATTGTGTGCGTTTGTGCACATGCTTTCAGGGACACCATCAAGGATTCGTCACCGCGATACATCCGCGTGGGCATTGAGCTGGACCACGTTACGGCCCTGGCCTTCAGCGACAACAGCAAGAGGCTCGTCTGCGCCACGGCTAAGAGCAAGGTGAGCAATTTTTTTAGGAGAGAGCCGTGACTAACGCGCTTCTCTATTGGGACTTTTCGTGACTGGGCAAACGGCCTGAGGCAAGAGATCAAATCATCATCATCGTCTGCCACAAAGCCTGTCGGCGTGTGTCCGTCTTTTTCTTGGAATGTCATCGACCGCGCTATGTAACCGGCTGACCCCATGAAAATTATTTTGTCTGTTTGTGTGCGTGTGTATCCGAGTAAACAGGAGATGTGCTTGTGCAGCATCCAGCTATCCGGCTGACCAATGATTGTCTTTTGTCCTCGTATGTGTATCCAAGTAAACAGGAGATTTGCTTCCACATCATCCAGCTGTTCGGTTGACCAACGGATGTCTTTTGTCCTCGTGTGTGCATCCGAGTAAATAGGAGATTTGCTTCTACACCATCCCCACGGAGAAGGAGAGCAAGGCGGGGGGCGGCAAGGTGGAGCTGCTCAAGAGCTTCCCGTCGGGGCACGAGGAGCCCGTCACCAAGATCTTGCTGCTGGACGTGGACAAGGTGCGTTTCAAAGCAGTACGTAGTTTGTTTTTCCTTCTGTTCTTGTTGGTTTTCTTTTTCGTTGTCTTGGTTGGTGTTGGGGTGGGGGGTGGGGGGCACTGCCAAAAGACCGAAGGCATCGTCTAGTGTAGTCAGTCACTACCGTCCACCCTAGGAACTATGGCAAACGGCACCTTTTTTTCATCGCCCCGGGGTACCGTCGTAGTGGTTGCTGTGCCTAGAATCGATCGGCTCGGTCGTGTGTACCGCCAAACCGCGCCCACCGCGCCCACGCTTAGCGTCCAAAGCTGTACATGTTCTCGTTTCCCTCTTTCACTCACGATCAGTCCCTTGTGTAACCTTCGTGATTTGCGTGCGCTCTCGTGCAACAACAGTGGATGGTCATCGTCACCTGCGCGTGCGGGTCTACGGAGACCGGCATCAGGTTCTTGAACCCCAGGGGGGACTGCCTCGCAACGCTCGACACCAACCAGGTTTGCTGCTGCCTGTGATTTGTAGAGAACCATCTCATCATTGGTAGAGAGCCGTCTCGTAAATGGTATTGCATTGCGTGCACCTGGTACTTGGTAAATTTAACCATGGTGGATTTGGCGGTCTCGCTTGTGGCTTGGGTAATAGTAGTCATAGATTGATAGCCCGTGTGATGTGGCGTTCGGTTTGGACGTTGGTCCCCCAAGTGTATGAACTGCGTTACTTTGCTATTGATTTGATTACTTGTGGTCCGGTCGACTTCAGACGTATCGTTTTTTGCTTGTCTCCGTCGGGCGTTCTTTCTTGGTCGCGAGATGATTTTGACTTGAAAAAAAAAGGTGGTAGTTTTGTGCGTAAAATCCCCCATGCTGATAGACTACCCTCGCGAATCTGGTGCCCTTTTGCACAGTTTTTCGGCCTTCCTGCGGGATAGCGGGTTTATGTTTACTTCTTGTGTGCTCATATGTCCGGCCGCCTGGTTTAGACGATTGCGTTGCAAGGAGAATATCTCGCGACATACGTCAAATTCTACTCTTGTGTAAGTGCTAATTACTTGGTGTTTCATTGTATCTGGTACATTTTGTTCAGTTGTTTGTTTCGTTCGAGTGCGTTCAGGAAGATGCGAGATTCCAGCGCTGTTTTCGACACCAGGACGTCCAGATGGGAAACGTGAAGAGGCCTAAACGATTATTGTATCAACCCCCACCCCCCTTTTTTTCGTTGCTGCGCAGAGAACCAACTACACGATGGAGGCCTCAGCGGACAACCGATTCCTCGCTGTTGGAGCGGGCCTGCCGGAGGTGAATATTTTTGCTTCCGATTGGAGCAGGGTTCGGCCCAGTCGACGCAAGCTCAGAAAACACAAGCTCAGAAAAGAGGGGCCGTGGCTTTGTCGACCAATCGTTCCGCGTGAAACACAAGGATTCAGCTCGCGGTTGGGGTCGGATCGGGGCCTTCCTGTACCATGGGCATGATCCATACGTATTCTCATTCCCTCATGTCCTGAGACCAAGAAAAAAACCCTGTTGATGCATGGGTTTTTATTTAACCCCAAAGACAAGGTTGCTATTGTTGTTGTTGTTGTTGTTGTCGTCACGTTACACACCACCCAAGCCACAAGCATATTCAGAAGAAGTCGTAAGGAAACTTCAATCGCGATGAGAGATGTGTGCACTGAATGGTCCACAAACGTGAGAAAAGCGATAGCAGGTTCTGCGGCGGCATGCGCACTACGTCTGCTAGGATTATGTTTGTTTCACGAGGGGTTCATTGTCTGCTGTTCTGTGCTCAATTTTGTTTTTCCCGTCATTTCCTCATCCGCCCACGTACGCCTCTTTGCTCGTCGATGAGGGTAGACGTGTTCCGATACCTCTGACCTGACATTTTTTTTGGTTTCTTTCTGTGTGGTGGGGCAGGTGAAAGTGCTCGAAGTAAGCAGAAACAAGGACGGGGAGTTCAGCCAGGTGGCGAGGGCCATGACGCTGTCGGGTGTCCACACGAAGGGGGTACACGGGGTGTCCTTCAACCCTGAGTCCACCAAGGTGGTGACCGCGTCAATCGACGGAACTTGGTGCGTTCGTGTGGTCACACCTCAACACCAACATCCTCGGGCATCGATCTATGTGGTGCAGTTTTCGCACGCCATTGTTTTTTTTTCCACGTTGTTTCCCTCCCTCCGGTGCGCATCTTGAAGGAACTTGCGTTGATATGAAAACCAACGGGAAGAAATAATTCACACCCGCCTCTCAGACAACAGGGTGCTCGTTCTCTTTGCCAATGATTCTCGAACGAACCCCACATACCCTCCCCACCCCTCCCCACACAAATAAACCCTCCATTGCCCCCCCGCCCCCCCCCCGCCCTTCGTATCCATCCCCATACGAAACCCCCGTTTTTTTTGTTTTTTTTTGCCTGCGCGCCAAACAAAAACAGGGCGCTCTGGGACACCTCTGTCCGGTACAACCTGGACGAGGACCCTCGCAAGATGGAGCAGCACGCCTGCAAGGACGCCATGAACTCCAAGTACTCGGCCGCCGCCCTCGGCGGCGAGGACGCCAAGGTGGTGGCCCTCTCCTCCGGGAGGCACATCTTCTTCTTCGCGGTCGGGGAAGGCAGCGGCAAGCAGGTCGAGAGCGTCGGAGCGGCGCACGGCTCGTCGGGCACTTCCATCCTGTCGATGTTGGCCTCCAAGGACGGGAAGCTGCTCGCGACGACAGCGGCGGGGGACTCGCGCGCGCGGCTGTGGAGGTTCCCGCGAAGCAGCGGCGACGCCAGCAACAGCAGCGGGTAAAAAACAGTTTTGTTTTTGCTCGCGCGGCTGTGGAGCTTCCCTCGAAGCGGCGGCGCCAGCAGCAGCACTACCAATAGCGGATACAAATCGTTTTCTCTTCTCCCGGCGCGGCTACAATCCGTACCAGAGCGGATAAAATCACCGAGCGGCCAATATTCGTACCCTAACGGAGTACCCACGTGTCAGGATTGGTGTGTAGTTGCTCTTGAAGCCAAGGAGCACACACAACGCCAGGGTGATTGGGTAAGCGAGCGTGTTTGGTTTTTGTGTGTTGGGTAGTTCCATCATACGTGTACGGGTTCGAGGAAGACGCTTGCCGTATGTTTTCCGGGGATTCTGGAAACGGTACAACCTCAACATCGCCCCCGCTTGCATGCGTTGTGTGTTCTCTTCTTAGGGGTCGACACCGCTCCAAACGCCTGACCACTATCTCTTCGCACAGCGTGCGTGCGTGTGTGCTGAGCTCTAATTAAATTCCACATGGTAGAATCGAGTGAGACTGGGGTGTGGCCCGGTCTATGCGCACCGGTTCTGTGTTGGAACAACTAATAGCGACTTCCTGTAGACCGAGCGCGCGGCGGGGGGGGGGGGGAGGGGGGGGGGCGTCCTAAAATGGTCCAAGCCGGGCGTGGGGGCGGAGGGTGGTCATTTTCCCGAGT